TGAGTAACATTGGCTTTCTTGTAACGCAAACCCATAGGCCGAATAAACCGCTCATACTTGACCGGTCTCCGAGTGAAATCACCACCCACAAAAGTAGGTTTGGTAATCATCCTCTTCCACGACTTCTTAGCCGTCTTCTTACCCGTGTTCACAACCTTGAACATCTCTTCCTCACTAATACCCTTAACCTTGGGCAACGGCACCGCAAACTTAGCCGCCTTCTCATTCCGCTTATCCTTAATAGCACTCGACAAAGCCTTCGCATTCGTAGCCTGCGAACGGTCCAACAGGTACTGCGGCAAGGGTGTCTTGGAGGGCTCCTCGGGGGCAGAGGACTTGACGTTCTTCTCCTCCTGCGCCTTGATGCGTTTCTTCATCTGGATCTTCTCCGCATGGCGCTTCTGCTGGTAGAGCTTGGCTCTCAGGCCGCGCAGGTTCTGGGCATCTTTAGATTGTTGGTGGTGTTCACGGGCTTGGCGCTTGCGGGATCGTTCCTCGTGGTCGAGGCGTTTGCCGTGCTGCTTTTGCCAGCGTTCGATATACCTGTTTTTTGTCAGTTGCTGTGGTTGCTGTGGGTGTGGTGGTTGGGGTTGAGGTGACGAACTCGTTCTGAGGCTGTATTTCGATATTCGTTAGCTATAGTTCACAATGATATTTGAGGCTTGAAATAGATACGTACCATGTTGGTTGTAAATGTTGATGGCTTGTAGTGCTTCTCGCCTCGTGGTTGAGAGTAGAGAAAAAAGTCGTTGCGGCGGCAGGTCTTGGCAGCGATAAATCACGTGGCCTTATCGGCTGCAATCTTCGACTACACACAAAATGAATTCAAATCAATAGAAAACCAGAAAAGGAGATAGACAGCAAGAATCTTAATGTGATTAGAAAGGTATTGATGGTGGAGCCATATAAATATGTCCAAGATATGAAGAAATTGCAACGAATTAATATCACGTGACTACGGCCACCCGCGCGGCCACTTGCGCGCTCTGGAATTTCTCCAGATGCCCGCCGCAGCTTCAACTTTTCGCACTGATTGATCCATTATATTCCAAATCGCCTACTCGGGGCCCTTAATAACCCCAATTGCAACCAGACAGACACAAGGACGACAAGTGCAACACTTCACCATGTTGGCCCGCTCCATCCTCCGCAAGGCCTTGGCCCTGCCATTCGAGCAGACACCATCATCAACCACACTTTTCCGGGCCACTCTATCCACAACAACATCGACATCGACGCAGTCCCCGAACCCAGAAACCCCATTGAGCGCATCGCCCCGTGCAGAATTCAATGACCCCACACAACAACAGCACCAACCACCCGTCACACCCTCTGCTGCTATCAGATCCGCCTCGACACCCTACACTACCCCCAACACATCCAGCCACATCCCCATCCACAAACAACCACTTCCACCGACATTCGAATCGCCCCTGAAAGTCACAAGCTCCCTCCTCGAGCTCCTCCCGCACCTTGTCGCGCAACGATCACACTATATCACCGCGCACGTCCATGCGAAGCCCTACCTGGTGACAGCGGGCGACCACCTCCGTCTGCCGTTTTTGATGGCCAATGTGCAGCCTGGTGATGTTATCAGACTTAACCGGGCGTCTGTGATTGGTTCGAGGGACTTTACGCTGAAAGGGAAGCCATATATCGATGAGCGGATGTTTGAGTGTCGGGCACGGGTTGTGGGTGTTGATTCGGAGCCGATGCGGTACAAGGAGAAGACGAAGAGGAGGCAGAGGCATGTGCGGACTATTAAGAGTAAGGAGCGGTATACTATGCTGAGGATTATGGACGTTAAGGTTAAGACGGAGGAGGAGTTGGTAAAGGAGGGGGCTGTTGTTGTTGAGGGTCAAGACCAGGCAACGCTGGAGGTTAAGTCGTGATTTGTGAGCTCTAGAGTATTTCACGGACATGTTGAAAAGGAGAATGGTTTTTTTAAGGAAAAGTCACGTTCAATGATGGGTTACTGTCCTCCTGTCCTTGGGGCTGGGCATGCTATGTACAGATAGGTTGATTGCGCATGTATCTATAATGGATTTTCTGTCTACTCTCATCCAAGTTCCAGCACCAAGTGAGATTCAAGCATTTCATAACTATCACTATCCAGACCTATGAGCTTGGCAAACACGCTACATAAAAACATCATTCATCATAACCAACAAAATCAACCCAAAATATCATCCGCAATCTTCTCCGCCAACGCATAAACCGTCGACTGCGGATGTCCCGGCGGTAACAACGGAAAACTACTCGCATCAACAACCCTCACTCCCTGCACCCCATACACACGGGCAGAACTATCCACAACAGCCATGCTATCCCTCTTCTTCCCCATCTTACACGTACAAGCCGCATGGAACACAGGCCTCGTACTCTCCTTCACAAACTCGCGTATCTGCGCATCGCTCGTCACGTTAGCACCCGGGTAGTACTCGACGGATTCCGCAACGCCCATCTTCGACAGGATGGACCAGATCTCCCGTGTACGTTTGAACGATTGCACGGCTAGATCCATGTCTGCCGGGTGGGAGAGCCAGCTCGGGTCGATAAGGGGCGGTGTTGTCATATTGGGCCCGGAGAGGGAGACAGTTCCGCGGGAGAGAGGCGCAACAAGAGCGATGTTCAGAGTTGCGTAGTTGTGGCCGTCGAGCGGGTCGACTGGCTGCTTGACTTGATTATCGCCGTTGAAGGCGGCGACGGGGAGGTATTCGAGCTCGGGCCAGTCCGGGGGGAAGGTTGCTAGTGCAGTGATGGATGTGTTGGAGAGATTGGAGCGGTAGGGCTCTGGAAGCTTCTCCCAGCCGTAGTAACCCGGACCGAAGATGGAAAGTGGGCCTGTGGCATGTTGAAGAAATTTGTTTGCGTTTTCAGCAGCGAGAGTCTTGTTATTTTCTGATGCGGAGTTTGTGAGGACATTGACGCGATGCGCGGTGCCGAATACTGGGTGGTCGAGCATGTTCTGGCCGACACCTGAGAGGTTGGAGAGACAGGGGATTCCGAACTTGGAGAGGTGCTCGCATGGTCCGATTCCGGAGACCATGAGGAGTTGAGGGGATTGTAGAGCGCCCGCGGAGAGGATAACTTCGCTGCGAGCGTTGAGGGTGAAGTTGATGGGTGGTGTGCCGAATGTGCCTCCTGTTGCGACTTGAACTCCTGCTGCAGTTTTGGTCGAGTCGAAGAGAATCTTCTGGGCTAGGGTGTTTTTGTAAACTACTAGGTTGGAGCCATTGTTGAGGGATTTCTTAAGGAAGCTGGATTCAGAGGTCGAGCGGTGCGCGTTCTCGGGGTTGATAGTAAAGGTTGCATATGCTGAGCCTAGCAATCTGCCACTGTTGAAACCGTTGATTTGACCCATGCCCACTGCGATGAAGGCCTTGCGAACCCAGGTACCAAACGCGTCGACGGCATTGCTGAATGAGACTTCTAGCGGACCTCCGGAGGAACTGAATGCATCTGCCGTTTGGCTGTTCGTGGAATTGGTGTAGAGCTCCTGATTCGGGGGCGTATAATGGCAAGTCTTCTTGTAGTATGGAAGTAAGTTATCAAACGTATAACTCTGGTCGTCTACCTCATCCGCCCACCGTTGCATACTGTCAACTGTAGGCCGATGATAAAGCATGAAATTCCTAGCCGAACATCCTCCCAGCGTCTTCCCACGCGCATAGTGCAGCTTCCGGCCACCCAAAGCCTGCTGCGATTCCGTGCTAAATCCCCAATCAATGAGCGGGTTATACGAATTAGGCTTAGATCCGGTAAACTGGGATGAATACCCAGGAACGACGGAGTAATTGCCGTTATCGATCTCGTTGAAGCCACCGGCCTCGACGACCGCGACGCTGGCCGATTTGCTCTCTGCGAGTCGGCTGGCGATTGTTAAACCGGCGTTTCCACCGCCGACAACGACGTAGTCAAAGGTCGCATTTGTTCCGGGAATGCCAAATGAGTTTCCGAGGATGCTTCCTGTCACTCCGTAGTCCCAGAGATTAAGGTGCTCTTGTGCGGATGCAATGGCCAGAAGGCCTAGGAGGAATAACTGAGAGAGACGCATTGCGATCACCTCAGTGAAAGAAAGACGGTCGACTATTGCAATTGACCGAATTCAAGCTAGTCAAGGGAAGTTGGTCATTCTATGGTCGCGTCACTGTCATGGAAAAAACGTTAGCCGCAACGAGGAGATAAGTACTGTGGAGAAGCACAGTCCAGGGACTCAACAGTGCTCCGTATATGCCCTTTAATACGGGCAAATTAAGCATTCCGATCATTGCCAGGAACAGGGGAATTGCTCGATACGGTGGAGCTTGCTGCTAAGGAGTCCGGTGCTGTTCCGAACTGTCATTTCGCGCACGAAGTCGGAATTGACTGCGGCATGGTATTCTTACATTGAGTAAAGTCGTGACTTTGGATGTTTGGAGCTTTACTATGTAACGAGAAGGCCTTGGAATAGACAGATTATACTCAGCACGTTGAATTAAGGCAGTGCTACCGGAAACGAATTAGCGCACATTTGCACGTGGTCTGCCATGGTTGTCCTTATTGTTATTTCAACTTCATTGATAAACGTACCTGCATATAGCATCCTGAAAGATTTCTGAGCTCACGTACGATTATTCTTCCGGATGCTATAGTGATGAGAAGGGTATAAAGATTTCAAATGATCCAGCGACAGCTCTATGCTGGAACTAACAAAAGACAGAAAAGAATCATACAGTTGAGGTGATCGCATAATCCTGGCCTCTACACTTACTAAACCTCCCCAGCCTGCCTCCTAATATACCTCGTAACCTCATCCATCACCTCTGGCACCAACCACGGCGTATGAGCTGCCTTAATCCTCTCCGTCTCAAACACCGCCCCCTTCTGCCTCGCCTTCTCGACCATAGCTTCCTGGACAGCCAGTAGGAGCGCGCGATCATTTTCACACAGGAGATACGAGCTGGGGACCTCTAGATAGGCGGCACTGGTGGCAGGCGAGGTATTGGAAGCCCAGGCATGCGGACGGAGAGTTTTAACCCATTCATGACCGTTGGGGACATCATGGAAGAAACGGGCGAATGGATCACTGGCGGTTACGGTGCCGTTTTCAATCTGTGTTTGAATTAGCCTATGAGCCGCCTATAAGTATACGGGTATGTGAATGAGTGCGCTTACATCCCGTACAAACCAATCCGCCGGCCCCCCAAACGCATCCAGCAAACTCTCCCCAGGTTCCGGTATAAACGCCGCAATAAACACCAGCTTCACAACACCTCCCTCCTTCCCTTCCTTTTCCCGCACTTTTTTACTTAACCCATCCAATGCGCTGTTCACCGGGAAGCCGGCCCAGCTGTGCAAAACTATAACAATATCCCGACCCGCATCTGCCTCGCACTCGACGAGTGTGCGGACAGCGCTAATGTCTAACTGGAGATCAGTGACGGTTGTTGCTTGCTGAATGGCAGGGAAGGCGATTGTGTGGCAGGTGTAGTCGGGGAATTTGGCGATTAGGGGATCGAAGGCTGTTGGGGGGTACCAGGCACCGGGGGCGAAGATTAGGGTGGGTTTTGACATTGTGAGTGTCAACTGGGAGTTTAAAGGTCTGAGTGAGTTATTTCTTGTGATGTCTCGTGGGCAAGACTGGTAATAACTGTCATGAGTTTATAGCCCCAAATAATACCCCGCACTAATCATTATTGTTGTTATGGAGTAAAGATGCCCCTCGTACGAAGTATACTAGGTATCGGAAGCAGTCCAATCGGAAGAAAATTGCATTGGCCCGGTATTCGCACAGAGCATCGTAGATTTAACCTAGTTTTCCGATTCTTCAACATTTTAAGATATACCCGAAATGCAAACATATCTACCCAACCGTCATAAATCATGAGCCGCAATAGTTCTATAACACCTAAGCCCATATCCTCTATAATAACGCCATATATCCCAATAATCCCAGTAAACCGCCCCTTGAAACATAATCATACACACTGCTGCGCCTCCTTCCCAAACCCACTCGACTCAGCCCGACTCCTCCCCCCAGTCGCAACCGACGGTATCGATGGCGCATACCCATACTTATCAAACCCCATCTCATACCCCACCCTCGTATGCGGCATCGACGACGCCCTCGATCTTGACCCATCCGTAGCAGTAGTAGCAGTAGGCAACCTCGCAAAACAAACCGTACTCCCATCAGCCTCAGTCTGCGACGAGCCCAACTGCGACAGGCGAATAGGCAACGAATACGAAAGCGTGTGCGATCCAGACCCGCTTTCCTTATCCGTGGAATGGCGAGTAGCGTCGTATAGTTGTCTGAACATGGGGCGGAGAGTTGGGAGGCAGGCACAGATTATGCCGACGGATTGCTCGATAGAGGACCATGTTGCTGTGTCGATTGTGCTGTACATGGGGTCGTTGGCATCAGAGAAATCGAAGGCTATTATGCGGAGGACGGAGACGATACAGACGCTGGGTTTGTCAGATTGGGCTGGCATTGGATGGGGAGGGGGGCTTACAATCCACCGAGGAGGAATATTCCCGTTAGTATTAGCTTTTGGCGGAGACATGTCTTTACACGACAGGTCATCGGGAACGGTAGGCACAGAACCAACACATCCAGGAGCATGTTGACGATACCGTTCCATCGGTAAAAGTTGACTTCGTCGATGCAGGACCCTTCTTGATGTCTATACCAATAGTACGAGACAGGCGAGCAGCCAGCAATGGTGACGATAGTGCAAGCAATAAAGTATGCCGTGACTAGAAATGCTGAGATTCCTAGAGCCCAGCGAAACCCCGAGACGACGCCGAAAATTCGGTGGTAGAGAAGTAACAAAGAGGCTTTGGTGAAGACGGCATTGCAGAAATACGTTATTTGTACCGCGATGAAGCTCTATAGCAGTCAGCTTGCATTCTCATAGTATAAGGCCAGGTGAACCCGTACTATCTGAAAGTTTATGACTTTTTCGGACGCTACGTATTGAGTATGCCGGCCATGGTCATACATCAGAACTTGTGCCCATCGTGTAGCTGCCATTCCCCAGTTGATCACCTAGAGTCATTCAGTAAACCTGTTTTCTCGAGAAATGCTAAAGAAAACGCACAAGAGCAGCCGCAATAGTATAATCATCCCACCAAAGCCCAACCCGCGAAACAGTCCGCGCGGTAAACCGCAACGCAGTGATAACAGTAGCCGGCACCACAGTCACAATAGTCCCAATCCATATGCGATAGGCGATATCATCGCCCGGATCTTCATCCATGCGGTTCATGGCTGGCAGACATTGCAAGAGAGACACATCGTCGATGATATCAAAGAGCAAAAGAGAGGGGAGAAGGTGAGATCGCAAATTTCCCTCGGGCCAGATAATAGTCAGATAATGGCCCAAGGTGCGGTGCCAATAGAAGAGGGATTATTGCAATGATTTTCACAGCACGGACTTTGCTAGTAGTTACCGGAGGCGTGGTTATTGGCAGCGCTGCTCCCAAGCTTCCGGAGAAGGACCCGTCAAGTAAATTTAATGGATATGATGCCGCGCAAATATTCCGCCTGCACAGAACGGAAAATTTTATGTTATCGAGTATTCCGGCGTGGCTATGTCTTCTACGGAGCATATCATTTAATTTGAACAAGGGTGACCCCGTACAGAAGGACTTTACGTAGTACACACCTGGCAAGATCGCACCAACACGGAATGTTTTTAGCAATAACATAATAGCCAGTGGACCGTGTATACCATAGACTAATGATATCATGAAGGATGAACACCTGGAGGACGGAACCGCGGCACTGGCGTACTCAATTATTCTATCGGGGTATTATTCGCTTCTTGTCGCGTGCTCAACCTATCAAGAATGGTAAGTCCGCGTCGAGATCGTCAGGGCGATGGCAATTATTACCTGCATACAGGAGATTTGAATCGTCGTGATGGTTACCAAAGACGGTGATGATGGACATTTTCTCCACTGCAGGACTCAGTGAGGGAGGATAATGCTCGCGGAGACCGAGTCATTGGATTTGTTATCAGATGCTTCTAGTTAGAGTAATCCGTACTTCTGGGACTCGGGTTAGGTTCGGGGACAAGGAAATTACTGCAATTCGCGGTTATATACTCTGTACCATCTCGAACAAATGGCTTGTAGGTATGACCACAGCGTCCGCTCAGTCATACTTAAGTCACATGCTAAGCTTAGTAGCTTGTAGTCTTTTACTAGTAACTGATTTCTGACTCAATGGTGGGATTGAGCCCCTTACCTTGACTGAAACCCTATCAAATTCCATTGATAGTATAGGCTTGTTCAATGCTGTAACACTGTTTCTACTTCCTGTTCGAACTTTGAAGTGTTGTCAGGTGCAATTTTGAATAAAAAGATTGGTGAACTTCTAAAAAACGTCTCTATATATTAATTAAATAAGGATAATAATAACTTCTCTTTTGTACAACTAGTACTGATCGCCTTGTATGTTGTTCTGACTGTGGGCGTGGTACTGGTTGCATATATGCCTTGAATATATATTTTGAGGCTTTGAGTACGGAATAAAGTCGTACATTTGTTTTTCATTGAGCCTGAGCTGCCTGCATCAGTGGAAGCCCAGAAGCATGAAAGATGCGAGGATAATGAGTTTGCCCATTATAAGTGTGAATGTAGATCGAGAATGTGAGATTCATTTAATCATCGATTTTGCGGATAGCCCGAAGATTTCAAGATATAGAAATAATATATAAACTGAAGTACGTAACAATACGGACGAAGAATGTATGAATTATGCAGTCACGACTTTAGTTGTGTTTGTACCGATTGCACGTCATTTTGGGTTCCCAGAACACAAATTTGGGGCCCCAGTGTTGGGTTTGGGCCGAAGGACTTAACCCAAAACCAGCGCTGGAGTTGAAGATTTCGACCCAAACCTAACCCAAACCTAGGTTTGGGTTAGGGTTTTTTGGGTTTTGGCGATGTCTAGGCTTAGGGTAGGATCAAGATGCCAAGAAGAGCGTGTATAGGCAGCTATGCAAAAAAGACATCAAAACTAGCAGTAGCAATAAGCCCTGGAATATCAATTTTCACATGCAAAAGATTCAGACACTTAAAGAAAAGACTATATGTGCTCTCCGGCCCACAACATTGATATTATGGCGAGAAACAACGCTGGGCCCAGCAAGACCATCGTACAAGGCATAATTTTTTTTTTTTTTGTGAAAAAAAAAGCAAACAAGGGAATTACAACATTAGAAAGCAAGTGGTGTGTAGATGAGCAGACATGTCATGGGCCGGTTGCTTGTGTGGGTTCATGAGTCTTACCATTCTGGATCCTAATTTGATCGGAAAGTCCTGGTGGCCATAGCTTGGCTCACTCATTGTACGTGCACTGAATTCCTTTTCATCAACATAACTAACCTTCGAAGTAATCAAAAGGAAAAGGAGGATGAGTCAATGGATAAGGATAAAACCTACAAGTGCCTGCAGTGCCATGGATGGATATAAAACTAGTCATTCAGTAGGGCAGCGGTAGTAAGTCTCCCATTTTTTACTCTCATTCTTTATTTTCTTTGTTTTCTTCACATTGTTCATCTCCTTCTCTTTTCATCTACAAGTTGAATCAAATTCACTCCACTAACCGCGCGCAATGATTCCAGGTGCCTCCATTTTTGTTGTGCCTCCATTTTATATCCTAATACCACAGGCATCATAATTGTGCCACTTTGTTCCCAATTCTTCATGTTTATAGATTACTCTTTCTGCCCTGACTAGAACAGATCTAGACGGGAGTGCGCGCTTAGTTTAAGACTGAATATGTTGGGGTTTTATTATTCTGTCTGTGGCTTCAATTAACCCCAGGAATCTTATAGAAAGAGTTATGAAGATTTACAAATGGTCTATGAATCGCGAAATGGCAGTCCCAGGGGCTTCCGTAGAGAGTGCGACATACTTGAGATTGATCGGATGGCGCATTTATATTCGTTCAACTTCATAATATTCAATACACGAGATGCCTGCTTGACTATGGAGCTGATCCTCAAAAGACTGAGGTGGCCATACTCTGTGTGGCTTTGAGTATTTCTTGTTGTGGAAGACATGGTTTCCCATTCTCTCAGCCGTACTTAGAGAAAGGGTTATTTGGCGTAAATTATCAGAGATTATAGGCCAGGCTATGGCCGAAAAGAGCATGCTGGTCGATACCTTTTGTATCCGTAGCTATCTAAAGGATGTGTCTCTGCCCGACATACGTTATGCGAAGCATAATGGTGCCTGAGGCTCTCAAACAAAGAGTATAACTGGTTACTTGCCCCGAGCACGGAGTGTATGCGATTAAGAGGGCCAGCCCGATGAGGCTGCGAGAAAGGTGGCTAGAAGGCTGCACAACCTTGCTTACAAGTTACTGTTAAGGTCTGCAATCAAGCCCAGTGTCAATTTGCGTCACGGCCATGCCTTTTCTTTCTTAATCTCCACGACCTAGTCCTACACAAATCACAATGACAAAGGAGCATCTGTGTATCTTCCACATCAAATCATCTTCGCATCACAGATTCTATTTCAGAATGGTATTCGGCACATAGCGTGGCATCGAATCCTCCCACATACTATTCGTGAGAACCGTCTTGTTGGACCCATCAACATTCATGATCATTATCTGTCCATATGGCTGGAAGGTATTGTCGTAAGTAGCAGCCTCAGCCTGAAACCCCCACATTCCACTTGACCACATAATGCGTCCATCCGCAGTCCAAACAGCGTGAGCATCATTGGCCGGCGATGAAGTAAGTTTTGTAAAGTCTGTACCGTCAGGCCGGATGATGCACACTTCATAATTCGAAAACTGTCCCCTCTCAGGTAGGGTCACGTTACGAGTAAACAGAATCCATTCACCATCCGGTGAGAAGAAAGGGAGATTGTCGCGCTCGGTGGTCAGAGTGGCCGTTTTGTTGGTCTCAAGGTCAAGCACGCGCAGCCCAAACTCCGGCTGGTAAACACGGTAGACAATCTTCTTGCCGTCATGCGAGTAACTAGGGAAGCCAGCGTTAGAACCAGAGCTAGACGTGTTGGTGGTGAGGGCCTGATAATAGGAGCCGTCGGACTTGGCTCGGTAGATGTACCCGGGCTTGGATAACCGACCCTGGAACCAATAGCCATAACCAAAGGTAACCCATTTACCATCCGGGGACCAGCTTGGCTGGAAGCAGCCGGATTGACCTTCAGTTACGGATGCATAGCTGACAGGGTCGGTCAAGCCTTTCTCAAATGTGTCGAACGGGATGGTGAAGTCGTGTTCGTTAGGCTGCATCACCGCGATAGATGAATTGCCTGGCGTGCCGGTCTGTTTCGAGTTAAAAACTAGCATTCCCTGGTCTGAGAGATCGGGAAAGACATCCATGAAGCGGTACTCCCACTTAGAGTCCCAGGTGTACATCTTCTTTTGCAGAGGCCGGGTGGTCCAGCCGGTTTTCTCGTAGACAACATATTTGCCATCGGGGCTCCAGCTAGGCGAGCGCATGCCGCCAAGGATTTTGTTGCCATTCGTATAGTGAATGCCCTCATTGCGTCCTCCCTTAAGCAGGTAGCCAATGGTATTATTGACATACTGGGGGTAAATCTTGCATCCGGAGGAGTTGGTGTGCTCGATGCGATCCAAGCCAGTTGCAAAGTCCACCGAGACAATCTGGTTGGATGTGGTATTGACGTTGTACGACGAGCGGGCATTCCAGGTTTGTTGTAAAGTCATCGAGTAAAAGATAAGCCGCTCGCCGTCGGGAGAGAATTTGGGTGTTCCAAAAGACAAGGCCGGCTCACTGTATACCTGCCTGAACCCCGTTCCTCGCGGAGTGATGGTGTAGAGGGACAGGTTTTGGGTATGTTCCCATCCGATTCCATCGTCGTGACCAGTCCATCCTGTGTTGATATCTGAAGAAAAGACAATACTTTTCCCATCAGGAGACCAGGTTGGAGAGAAAAATCCACTCGGTGAGTTGGGATCACCGGTCACACCAGTCTGGTTTGTGAGATTGCGAGTGGCACCCGTTTCAAGATCCGTAATCCATATATTGGAGGTATAGACGTCCCGGGTAGACGCATAGGCGGCGTATTTGCCATCGGGAGAAATAGAAACTGCATCCTCGACAGCAGGGGTAGCAGCAATTTTTCTGAGGTTACTGCCATCGACATCGACCATGTAGACATCGGAGTTACCGTCGCCGTTGCGCTCGGTGGTGAAAGCGATCGATTTTCCATCCGGAGCGAAAGTGGCGTGGTATTCGAAGACTGACTCGTTGCCCAGCAGAAGGCGCTCACTTGTGCCATCAGCATCGGCAATGTATAGCTGCGATATTGAGGGATTGATTCGGTTCATCAACATGACGCCCTTCTGACTAGGATCCTCTGAAGGATGCATTGCCTGGGTGCGAACCATAGGAGCAGAATTGGTATCTCTAGTCTCCATGCGTTTAGCATAGGGACAGTTACCGGCGGAAGTATCTACCCGCCTGGCATAAGGACAGGCAGCTAGGCATGCTGCTGGGCCTATAAGGGCAAGAAATAAGAAACGCATGTTGGGTATCATGCGCCGAAAAGATGCGTGGATTCCTGTCAGAGTGAAATCGAGCATCTACTCTTTGACTCTTTATAATCCCTAGAAGATGACCAAATGTGTTTACTTGTGCGAGAGTCCGCAACGCCGTATTCTGCTATATCTCCTAAAAGGCCAATAAGCATACTATAATTTTATATGGTAATCCGGTTGCGACAAGCTGACGCGGCGTTGGCTGGTCAGCAATTAGTGAATAATTGCGAAAATAATACTAGTTGGTTAATTGAAGCAAGCATATTGACTGAATGAAGAAATCAAAGCATCAGCGAACGCGTACTCTATGCAACAGGCTATCGGCAAGTTTCAAGTGGGATGTTTAGCGAGGCGAGATAGTAGGGCTACCGAAGACCGAGATCGCGGCGTCGAGCGGGACCAAATACCAGTCTCCCAAAATAGGAAATGGATGCTGTAGATTCATGTTTCATAGAGCTCGTCAAGCTCGGAGAAGGATCAAATTGCTTAAAATATCAGAAGATCTGCGGTGGGGCAACACCTTGTCATTAGTTATTAAAAGATCTACTCTAACTATACTCCGGAGTACAGTCGGAGATAATTGCGTACAGAGTACTAACCACTATCCGGACCGTAATACAGGCACCGGCCAGAGTATCCACCCTGAGATGGAATGATAATTTACATGGCTGTCCCGATTAGGTTTAAAGGACCGAGAAGTTAGAGACTCGCAGCCCTGAAGAGATCGCCAAGGTAATCCCGACGGGCCCCGCCTCGGTGATAGTTTATTGAAATGCAGGAACAACGTTTCAAGGATAAAATCTAGGAATGATACAGCCAATGAATACCAGGACTATTGTGCTTACGATTCTGTCGCAGCATATCGTATTCGTGTAAGATTTTCTTAATTAAAACCGATGATGGAACTAATTCTTCTGGCAAATAAGGGCAAATCCCCCTTTGTTGATCCTATCTAATTCACACTTGCCTCAGATCAATCCAAGTCTAAACAACCATCCTCCACGCCAAAGCCACAATAGCTTAGCTCAGAACAGTCATGTTGTTGGACAAAGCGGTACAGTTGATCGGAAGATTAATCGGAGGGAAAGTACCGCCTGAAGAGAAAGCCAGACTGCTGTAGTTGTATGTCGGGCTGAGCATCATGATCTGGCCAACTGTGGTACCGTACTTCTCGGCGAGGTCCTTGTACACACCCCACTTGAAGGAATAGGGTTGAATAATGCACTGGCTGGGCGAGCACTCGGGGATTTTGAGGAACTGCCCCACTGACAAGGTTTCATTGGCGGGTCCGCTGGCGCCACCATGTGTGGCCCCGGCCATAAGAGAGTCGGTCGTGATGTTGAGACGGATTGCAACCTTTTCGTAGGTGTCGCCCTTGACGGTGTAGTACAAGCGAGGACCGCCGTAAATGCAGGTACGGGTCCGTCCCTCGTCCTTGATCAAGCATGATTCGTTGTCGGGGGTGCAGGTCTCGGGGGGGATCAGGAACAATTCACCAACATTGGGCGGGATGTTGACATCAGCCATCAAGTTCTGGCGGCCAATGTCACAGACTCCGCGCTTGGTGGCACGCGCAATGTCAAAGACAGTGGTGCCTTCTTTGGTGATATCATAGAGATAGGTGGTGGTGTTGAGGGCGCTCGAGTTGCAGGCAGCAGCAACGGCAAAGCTCGAGGTTCCCAAAGAAAGGAAAGCCGCAACAGTGAACCAGATTCCCCTCATTGTTGCAAAAATTGTTGCAAGGAAAGAATGAATGTAGAATGGATGTAAGATTTAAGGACAAACGGCACCAAAGAAAGGTATTCCACGGGGAGATTTATAAGAAAGTGAACGGCGATCCTTTACCAAAGAAAGAAATAACCCATGGGACGTACTCTGTAAATCGGGACTACGTACTTTGTGTCGGACTGCGTATGAGTTCGTCAGTATGGTCCATAGGGACGATCACACTTCTTAGTGCGAGATTCTGCCACTTTCTCTCTTTATACAATACACCACCATATGTGCTATCACAAGTTATATATAGTTATACGAAAGTGCTCCAATACACCCCCACGCGGCTTACCCTATTGAATTTGATCCATCATTATGTGGCTTCTTTCTTTTCCCTTTTTTCCTGTGATTTCTCCCTCCTGTGTGCTTGGATATTCTATCTATTTATAGAGCTCATTTGCTACATTACTCGGGCTGCACCAGGCTATATCTAGGTAGATTCTGGTTTTGCACAAAAGTGGTAATACGGAACGAGTTGGTATAGCCATTTGCTTCTTGAAGCCAAAGAGCCGTGCAGCAAATCTAAACCTAGGGCAAAGCAGCACAGGTCCTCGGTCGTCGGTCCAATGGGCAGGAGTCCCTCGGCTGCTCAGTAGATTCAATACTGGTAAATGAAAAGATACGGCCTATAAGATTGGCCATTAGTGACTTTTACTCAAAGCCCCCAGGACTTGCTCTGCTATAGTAGGTGTCACGGAGTACGGGCATTCACCAACAACGCAAGATGGTTGTATACTTTGGCCTGCTTGGATATGGGGCAGGAACCCCTTCGCACACTAGATAGTGCAGCGCTGGCAAGCCCAGCTTCTTTCTTTCCTTCTCCATGTTAGTATTTCGATAGAAAGTCTACCAATAAATTTATATTGCACGAGGCCGTCACAAGAGCTATATCTTCCCCGAGCACCCCTGGGCTGCCTCCTAGCTGCCAGGAGTGGCCACGGTGACTTTGCAGAGTACCATGAGCGCTTTAAACATGGCGAGGCCTCACTGACATGCTCATGTGGCCGCAGAAAGGAGCCCTTCCACTTCTATTTCTGCCGAGAGGGTCGCAAATCAGCGGCACATCCATGGGGCCAACAACCAGTAGTGGACATCCTCACCAAAAAGGCCGGATTCACTGCACATGCGGATTGGCTGGGAAAATCACAATTTTATACAGCCATCTGCAGAAGTCATTAGGATGCTGAAGGCATCAAACCTGGGAAGCTCCAGGCCTACCTCTGGCTCCTTTCTCCTCTCCTCCTTCTTTTTCTCTTTCCCGTCCATTTCCCTTTTGTTCTTCCTCCCCTTTCCCTTTTTTTCCCTTCGGTTTCCTCCTTAAGAAACCCCAAGATGCTCAGTTTGTTTTCTAACAGCTGCAAAAACCCAAACAGCCCCCGCGCGGGAAGCTACTTGTATTTAGATGATAGATGGTAATTTAGCTAGTGAACAGGCAGTTCCGATCTGCCTGTCGTATATCCCGCTCCGGGACCAGAGCCTCACTACCTCAGATGGAGGACCCATCCCCGACGTTAAATAGTACACACACACACACACACACACAATGCACACATACCTGTGTACGCGCATGTACATTCGTTAGGCAATATGCATCTTTCCTCAAGCTAGTCCTCTCCATATAGACCTCATTAGTCCGGAATAATCGACTCCCGATTTCCCTTTTGAGCTACGATCCGAGAGACTCCGCTTCACACTTCAGTGTGACATTCGCATGTGAGTCACGTTAACACAATTTGAAGTTGGTTAGATGTGTAGAATGCAACAATAGGAAATATGATTATCGGTAGATATTTTATTTAAAAGAACCCCTCATAGGTCAGCACACCCATTCTATGGCAATCGTATTCTGTACCATGTTTCGTAGAAGACATGACACATGAACTTAACCCTATTTGAGTGGCAAAATAAAGCTCCGTATTAACTAGAGGCATCGAAAATGTCATCATTATGTATTTATTCTCCACCAGTGCTGTCGCTCCAAATACCAACTTAAGACCATGTTATGAAGCTATGAAGATCTCGTATAATAAAACTCAGAACGCCCCAATATTTTCAAGCTGGCCATCCATGTTACGGATATGCTCAGCCAGGCAGGTCTCATCAGCCACATATTCCCCCGAACTGTTCTGAAGATTGGCGTGAAGAACCGGTAATCGAGATGGCCCTTCTCTGCGTAGTTCTATGTTGCGAGCACTTTCAGTGAATCTTTTGCCGTTCCAGTTGAAGTGACCTGGTAATCGACATAGTTATTTCTTGTTCATATATTGTAATGAAAACAGATTGAATTACCGTCTTCGTTTCCGAGAAATCGATCGAGTTCAACCTCGTTGACTAGACCGGATCCTTCATCATTGTTGCAAATAGCAACTAGAGAGGTAGTTCCGAGCTTGGAGCTCAGATGGATATCGCAAGCGCTATCTTGAAAAGACATGGTTAAGATCTGTTTAATCAAGTATGAACACGTCTCCCAAGTCTGATATACTGAACAGCTCGTATATATACTTTGTATTGCCGTAAACCAAGTAGGTTAAGGAATGCATCATCATGATATGAGATAAATCCAATAAGCTAGCTTTATGACCGGCGCTTATGTCAAAGATCACCAATAATTTTGCAATGTCAGTGCAAAAAATTCCACATCGGGGACCAAATCAAGTTTAATGGGGAGAAATTATGTAAAGCAAGAGCAATGTATGAGCCTATACAAACTTTCTTGCCCGGACGCTGCCGCTTTTGTGCTGAGCCTCATGACAAAGAACCCGAAAAACAGTGAAGTATGATCAAATTCTGGCAGTGCACCCTTGCAATTCCAATGCTAGCTATGAGTCTGTCTGCTCCCGTTGGACTTATGGCCCCTTGGCAAATAGACAATGAGTGAGGGTGCAAATTGGAAGCGCATAAATTTTTGACGGTGCTGACATGCTTATGGTTATTGATCCGAGAAGACGGGAGTTTGGGAGGGAGGGGGAGAAAAAAAGGGAACCATAAGGGTCGAGAGATCGGAAGGAACGGGTTGGGGATTTGGAGCAGGGAGGTTGGTGATGAATTATCCAAGTGCGATTGACTACTTGCAAGCAAATCTCTCGAGGCTATATACCATCTAGTAGCAATGGACACAAGAGTTTATTACGGAATATGACACATTTGGCACCAACTACGAGTAATCTCTTCCATGGATTTCTCTAGCAATTTCTACAAATACGTTATAATCGCGAAGCATTTGAGCGCAGCCGCTGGACAACCATGTCTACAGCTTTCCGAGCTTCTAACCAACCGCTCCAGAAAGGGGGCAACGCCGTTGCAACCGCGATAAGCTTACGCAGTCCACACATTCCGCGCGCAGCATGAGCTTCTGGAATGTGCTCCCCAGGCTGGTTCAATGAGTAATTGAAGACCTCCAATGAAATCGGGCCCTGGTACCCGGTTGCAAGTACAGCAGCGGCAACCAACTCAACGGGCATATAGCCACCCCGAGATTGTTCGAGTGGAAAGAGACGATGGCCTCGAGACCATGGAAGGCGAGCCGGTATATCGGGCTCTGTCGAAAGAATAGTCGCAGGATTCATGAGCTCCGCATCGCCGCATTGGAAAAAGAAAATCCGATCACCCGGAACCGTCGCGACCATAGCCGCAAGGGAAGCAGTGAGAACCTCGATGGATTCTCCAAGAGTGGGGAATATCCGCCCATGTCCGTCGGGGTTGTGAGGGTCCGCAAATTCGACGGCGAGGATGTTGAAGGCGTCGACAATTAGGCCGACGTTGGGACGATTTGCGAATCGCACTGCCTCCCATGAGGATGACCAGGTGTTCCGTACGGCCCAGGAGAGGCCTTCGTAGCCAATTTTCAACATTGGCCCGCCGTCTGCCTTTGTAAAGGCCGCTGCCATGTCACCAAGCTCGGCTAAGTCCTTTGCAACCGTATTGAGATCAGACGTAACTCCACTGTCGGTGCGGATGTTAGCGCACATAAAGACAAGATCCGTGTCGAAAGCCCGCATGAAAGGGAAACGCTTGGCGACCAAGTCTAACGTTGCGCGGCGCTCTACTGGATCTTTAATGCCCTCGATTTTGCGGAGGGGTTGTGTACAGGCAATGCGCATTCCCAAGGACTTCACCAGGTTGCCGAGCTTGCGGGCGACTTGTAAGTTTTCTGGTGTTGCTTCCCACATTTGGTCCCCTGGCAAGCCATGTTCTTCAAGATAGTTCTCCCAGCACTCGTCAAAAAGGTCAATCCATCGATAACCTGCTTTAGCAGCTGCTTCGAGGCGGGATTGTAGTCGATGCTCTCTCCAGTTGCCGAGAGATAACGTGGCGATACCAAGCTCGTTGGCGACGGTGGGCGGCAACGGTTTAGACATCCTGATTCAATTGAGATTATCTGAAAATACGAGTCGGGATGGGTCTGTATGCCCGATCACTAACTAATATGTCATCCGGGGATGATTCTTTACCCCTTCCCCGACATGCCTCGGTCACTATTTTTATTGACCGGTCTCATGCGCCGAGATCCTCGCATCCACGCATACTTCTTTTTATGAGTCCTCAGAAGGACATATGACGTTCTTGCTCACAATGGAAATCCTGACCTCTCAACCGCAGACTATTTGCATCATACTTCCCTTGATCCTCTGATATTACTCTAATCAGTTACATCGGGCTCTGCTTAGATAACTGGCCCCCGGCCTCTTTTTCGGGCTACCTCTATACATATCATGCCTAGGAATTACCATTTGTGTCTCTGGGAAAAATCACCACGGCTAGAAACAGTTACTTCTCCATTACTTTCATCTGTACCAATAGAACATATAATCAATATCCTCCACTTCAGCATGATCTGATTAAACTCACCAGTCCGGGATATTGTATCCGGAAACCAGAAAGCTACTATAGTCTCAATCCTAGGAATTATTGCAAAATATAGCGTATCAATTAGTTGAATCTTGAACGCATTGAATTATGGTGGTTCCTTGGAGATATCCGAAACATCTTGAACTATTAATCAACCTCTTATACCAGGATTGTGTTGTAAAAACGACAGACCGGACAGCTTGCTTCGTTTAGAAGAAATTCCCAAAGCCGGGCCCAAATATTTCTCGGAAAAAGTTAGCAAAGTCTTCGCCAGCAAAACCATCTTTGTCCGATACTGCTGGCGTCAGAAACGGGTCCCAGCCTGAGACAAGAGGATTTCGAAGAGTTATATGTGATGTTGGAGCTTGCCATTCAGGCAACCCCTGACTAATGTTATGCGTATGGTCGTATGATGAGTCAAGCTGGCGTTCTCTTGTGTGCGATGGCTCTCTTAAACTGACAGCTCTAGCCCGTAAGATCATCATGAGATGTTGCCCTAGAAGTGCTGCGATACCGAAACGATGCGAAGGCGTAGTACCGGCACGCTGTAATTCCAGAGCTACCTGGCTTAACAAGGCAAAAAGCTCTATTTCAATGCCAATGCGAGGCCCGTATAGAGCGGGAAATATTTTGAGAGCTAGGACCGCTGCGTAGGATATCATTGCCCATGTAGGAGCTAACATACAGTACAATAACTCTCCCACGGCCTGTAAGTCTCGTACAGCAGTTTCGCAACAGTTGACAGCATTTTCAAAGCAGTCCTGTCGAATGGTATCCAGGTCCTGCGCACGAGCAACCGAGCCGCTTAATGGCAATGATAGGGTCCAGAGCCGTCCATGAACATACACATGGCGAAGAAAGATAATGGAGAGTTGTTCAGGTACGAGAGTTGAGGTATTATTTCTGGGCTGTGGAAGCCATGTATCGCACCAGTTCTGGAGAGTGGTATCGACAAGCTCCCGAACCCAGTGAGGGTTAGAGTGCGTGAACTGTACTTGATGTTTCAATTCGACTTGCAGGAAAGCCAATGACTTGCGAAAGATAATAAAAGCACTTGTATATTTGTCTGTCATGTCAGCTAATGGGTGCAACCACCATGTGTCGATAGTTCGAGTCAGACTGGTCTCTGGAAAGCTGTGAATTCGACCGCACGCTGCGCTGTTTGCTCGCTCCCATAAGAGAATTCTCAGCCAAGTTCTTTCGCGATTTCGGGCTAGTCGCTCTTCATATGCAGTATGGTCAGCCGAAGGCCCATGTATAGACCGTGGGGATGCCTCAGTCGAGCCTGAATTAAAAGATGGCATGTTATGACACTGCTGCGTATGAGAGCCTCGAAAGGACTGGGCAACGCGTGTGTACCTATGTGACTCGGATTCCTGGTCCAACCCTAACTCTGTGGCCACACCAAACGCATACATTGTGTATAACCAGGAACGCTCTTCGGCCAAATTTTTTGCTGGAGTGTTGGAGAGAAGCGAAATATAATATCCTTGAACGATCTCTACCGACTTGTAGCCACATGTATGCACATATCTCGACAGCATCTCGCCATGGAGTCGTAGACTTTCGGCGATTGGTGCTGAGGCATGGTCAAATTGGGACGTGATTGCAAGGATCCAAGTGAATAACAGCGAGGACCGAGAACGCACAAAATCCGGTGTATGAAGCATTGGGTCCAATATCCCATTCACTGGGTGTAACCGGGCAAAATATCTATGAGAATTAGAGTCTCGTGGCCTCCATAGAAAGGATCCAGGCTCAAATACCTACATGGAGAATAAGTAGTTCGCCTCTTCCATTGTGACAAGTTTCAGGTCTACTGGGTCTAAATCTGGACCGACATCACGTTGACGCGCCCGCTTACCCTCCTTGAAATAATCAAGTGACTGGTATTCACAATCGACTGGTGCTAGCAAAGTATCCAGTCCCTCCACGAGACTCGCTCGGCTTAACTGAAGTCCCAGGGAAACATAGCCGGGTCGGTGAAGTAGATGGTATCCCTCACTTTCTCCCGTCTTGCGACAGGCCTGCGGCTCCCTCATAGATGCTTTGCTATCCAAAGTAGGTAACATGTCGGTTGAGACTGGGCTTGCTTCCGATGTTTGGGCGGCATCGGATGCATAGGCCAGTAGTGCGAGAGGGTTGCTTATCGGTTCCTGGTTTAATTGGGATTTATCTTCTTCATGATCCACCTGTGTCACTGTTTCCCCAGGTGTTCTGACGGGGGGTCCTAAAAAAGGGTCATCGGTGGTTGAAGGGAATCGAGAATGGTCGGCCGACTCATATGATAGCAAAGATTCCAAAGTCGGCCTCTCGCTAGTAGAGAGATGACCGGCTTCATAGATATCGTCTATTCCACGCGAAAATTTGGCCCTTTTCTCCTCCGACTTCAGTTTTCGGTAAGCCTTTTCGAACCCGCGATAGCGACCCAGAGCACCTCGCCTCCTGCCCAACGGTCGGGGGTCCGGGATTTTGCAGGCACGGTTTGTCTTCTTACACCGTTCGCATGGCTCTCTCAAAACTTCTCCGCCACCTTGCGGCTCAGCTCGTGTACATTTCATCTGCCGCGTATCGTTAGTGACGCTCTCTTGGAGAGAAAGACTTGGCATACCTTTAGCTTCCGACATGCCTCACATGCGGGCGCGGTCGCTGTACGAGTCTGTCCCGGCGAGTTCCCATCTCTGAAACCTGTAGACGCCATATTCCCGCGTAAGAAGCGTCGAAGCCAGCGACTTGCGGCCACAATGTCAGCTTGATCGCGAGGAGCACCCCGTTGCAGGATATTCCGGGGGCGGGGTGTGGAGCAGTCAATGGTACGGGGGGTCATGTTCATACTTGGACACGTCAAGTTACAAAGTCCAGCTTAATGCACAATGAGCCGGGCGTTGGGTGGATGAGCTGTCCCCTTACGTATTGGTGGTTGATTGCAGAAATGCATTTACCGACTGACATATCGAGGTGGTCGGATGTATCAACGTACTCTCATAGGGATTACGATGAGCTGCCGGCGGTGGATCCACCCGGCCATTTAATTTATACACCGGATACCGAGAGTGGGCCTAAGATTGTTTGGCTTGTCTGCGTAGTTCGCCATGAGACGTAAGAGCTCACTATATATTTATTTTCGGAGCTTGGAGACTCTGAAGCTGCAAAATATGCCTTCAAGCCGTTTGAATTTATATGAAGCTAAAGTGCTACTCACACAATGGAGTCCATTGACGTCGACGTGTTAGTATGCGGGGGAGGGATGTCAGGTATGGCATGTGCCGCTTTCGCAGCACAATCAGGGGCCAGAGTGTTAGTTGCTGAGAAACAGGGTACTGTGGGTGGATCGTCCAATTACTCTGCAGGCATGTTGTATGTGTCTACATTCATCATGAAATTCGCATATCCTTTGCTAACGACTCGGTAGCTGGGCCCCGCAGACGTACGACAAATTGAGGTCCTGGGTCCCAGATGGAGATCCAGAATTGCAGCGTGCATGGCTAAGTGATTACCTCCCGGCAGTACAATGGATGCGCGAAAATCAAGTGCCTACAGCCGAGCGATTCGATGGAATCATGACAATCGGTACGTAGCTATGATTTACAGTTGGCAACCCGACTATCTGCAATGCTGATGCAGGCTGCAGGAATTGGCTTCCCGATCCAGATCTCTCACCTCCACAGCCTTCATCGCAAGCGTATCGAGTCAAGCAAGGCCGGTTCTGGCATTTGGACAAACACATCAGTTGTCAAACTCATCCAGAATAGCCCTTGCGCTCCAGGCTCACGCATTAATGGCGCCATTGTTTGTTGTGTACAATCCAGTGGCCAATCCACGTCATGCTACGAGATCAAGGCCAAAACGGTTGTCTTGGCCACCGGTGGTTTCCAGGGTTCGTCGAGCCTGACAGCCAAGTATCTGGGCCAGGGTGGGGACAACATTTTCCTGCGTTCGAACAGGGGCTCTGTGGGCGATGGGTTGAATCTAGCCATCGGAGCAGGAGCAGGGACAAGTAGGGGCATGAACACCTACTATGGTCATCTTATGGCTGCTCCTCTCCGATCAGATGAAGTGGAACCCAAGGACTATCTTCCACTAGCACAGTATCGTGAGTAGCTATTCCTGTACAATTGTTTGCCAGAAATTTAACGAGTCTATAGAGAGTAGGTATTGCTTGCTGCTCAATCAGGGTGGGCGTCGTTTCGCGGATGAGACAACTGGTGACGAGATAATTAACCAGTACCTTGCAAAGCAAGAGAATCGACGTGGATTTCTACTGTTTAAGTAAGTCTCTCCTTAGCTATGTGAAGTCAGGTTTTCACACTGACGAGCTATTTCTCCGGTTTTTAGCGAGAAAACCCGCCTTCAACACTGTGTATCTGCTTTATTTCCAAATGCAGGGGATGTCGACCGCCTCCAAAAGGCTCATGAGCATGGATGTAATGTCGGAGCTGCATCTACACTTGGTGAACTCATCGAAATTCTCGCACAATGGGGCGTGGACTGCGTCAACGCCAAGAGTACGATTGAGAAATATGATAGAGTGATTCGCCAAAAAGGAGAGAATGAACTAGGGCTCGACGCCCCTGTTGGCCGGGGCGGTTTACCTCCAGCCTCTTTGGTGGAGGGCGATGGTCCGTTTTATGCCATAGAAGTGCAGCCATCGTATGTAAGCTCGCGCTGTTTAGTATTAATGCATACTGAGATGACTTGCAGGATTACGTTCACCTATGGAGGAATAAATATCGACAAGCAGGGCCACGCCCTCACTGCAAACAAAACCATAATACCGGGTTTGCTTGTTGCTGGCGTCGATGCTGGTGGTTTCAGCAACCTGGGATATGCTGGCGGTCTTGCGCTCGCTTTTGTCACCGGTATTTGGGCAGCAAGAGAGGTGGCACGAGAATTGGGACTCCCCCTACCCCGTCTTCCAGTTCCAGATGCAAGAGACGCTGAGACTAAGCCAATCAAGGAGCGTCTGTGATGTAGTCTCGATTGATATCAAAAAACCTGCTCTTGTCTAGTAGGGCATGGTGATCACGCAGCCCATATCTTTTGCACTATAATTAGAGCTCAGCAGCATTCTTGCTCTTGCTCGAATATACTTTCCCCGAAAGGAAGATAGGCGTTCGGATCTAGGAATAATAATTACTCAGTTACACACGCACTAGCTCTGAAGACTAGCTGTTCATATCTTGCTTATCAGCTTTCATGGCCTGACAAGTATCAAGTCGGTAACTTCTAAACGCCAAACTATGGTGATGACCAAGGCCAATGAAGCTTCCAAGTCCAAGATGGTAATGGACAAGAAGTCCGATCCGTGAGACACCTAAAGATACCAAGATGGAAATGTAATCTCACCAACATAAAATCTAAGACCGTAGCTCGGAGTTTACTATATATGTATGATACACATTAGCAAATTTCCTCAAGTGATATATATTTTGTTCTGCAGCTCAGATGCTCGTTATGTTGGCACGTAAATGTCAACAATGGGAGCCGCGAAACCTGAAATGAACACC